AAAAAAAAAAATTTAAAAAAAAAAAAAAAAAAAAAAAAAAAAAAAAAGACATAGGTAAAATAGAAGTATCAGAAATAATCTGATACAATAAAACTAATACAAATTCTGAAACCAGCCTAACTTAGAATTTTGAGATCATCCATTATCTAGTATATCGCTTTAATTTTTTGAGAGGTATTAGTTATTGCCTGAAAAATGTGGAATGCATCACCTATCAGGATTATAATAAGGATAATACAGCGCAGCATACACTGTAATAATAAATGGGACTATTTTATATACACTTAACATATAGTCCACTCTTTGCGGAACTCTATTTTGTAATTTCTTCTTGTGCTTCTATATTGCTATGATTTTTTTTTTTTTTTTAGTGTTTTCGTATGTTTTTTGAGACAATGTCCCTCTACATAGTCCACACTGGCCTTGAACTCACTATGTATCCCAGGCTGGCCTTGAATTTTTAATTCTCTTGCCTCAGCCTCCCAAGTGCTGGGATTACAGGTATATGCCACCATGCCCAGTTTGCTTAGGTTTATTTTTAGTAATTTAGGATCTTATGAGACCTAAGGAGCACAATTTTACAATCATTAACATTCTGACTACTCATCAACTGCTTCATCTGATTGAGTAATTTCATAAGGAGTATGTCCATAAAAACCAAACGAAAAATTCCTATCTGCTATTTTAAAAACATGGAGCTGGGGTTGCAGCTCAGTAACAGTATGTGTACATATGTGGGGTCCAGAGTTTGAGCCTCAGCACATAAAAGAATTCTCTTTTCCTAAAATTTAGACCTTCAAGATTATATGGTATTTATATTTAATTGTACATATCAATATCATAATATTACATACATAAATTTCGAAGATATTAACACATAAAAATCTCTATAAAAGCCCACGTAAAACTCATTTCTGTTAACTTTTTATTTTTATATGGACAAGAAAAGAGACCTCTAATGTTTACATTACCTTAACAGTCCATGATTTACATACTAACCTGGTAGAAATTCGACTAAAGACTGCATTGAAGTTGTTGCAGCTAAGAGAAAATAAAACCCCAGAGGCAGAATTCCGAAGTTCAGCTGCATGTTGGTTCCCTTCACGACAAGTATGAAGAAAGTGGCAGATTTCTGGCAGCAACTGTTTGACCAGCATTGTTTCATCTAATCTCATTGTGTCCTTTGGTTGCTAAGATAGAAAAAAAAAAAAATCACATACTTCTAAAACTTTCTTAACTTAATCTGTAAATACTTGTTTTTGTGAAAATTTTCAAACATACACAGGAGCTGAAACAGAATGAACTATACACCAATCTCCTACATTCAGTAATTGTTAATATTTCTCATATTTAATATAGTTTTTTATAGATAGTCGAATAAAGATGGTTCAGTCAGGTGCGATGTTACACACCTGTTATCCCAGCACTCGGGGAGGCTAAGGCAGGAAGATCACAAGTTCAAGTTCAGCCTGGGCAACTTAGCATGACCTTGTCTCAAAAAAAATAAAAAACATAAAAGGGGAGCTGGGCATTGTAGCTCAGTACAATGGCCTTGCATTCAATCTGCAGCACCACCAAAAAGAAAAAAAATACTTCCATTTTTCACCCCATAATCACAAAGTCCAACACACTGTCCATCTTCACGATGGAACCCCACTTGCACTTATTCTTTGGTTCATCAAATGGATCCTTCCCTATATGGTTATCTTCAGTTTGCTGTGCATTCTAGATAAACCTTATTCATATTCATTGGTGAGTGTATATGTCATCTGTCTTAATATCCAAAGAAATTTCTAGGTGAGCAATCACACCTACTTTTGTGGAGACTGATCAAAACAGGTATTACTATAAAAGCCGTTTTGGTTGAATCACTGGGAAGTTATAGGCACCATATTTTACCCCTATGTACTTTGGCATATCTTAAAAATAAGGATTTCCTCCAATATAACTTCAATACAACTGACACACCAAGGAAAAATAAATAATTCCTTTATATCATCTAATACTCAATAAATATTCAGAACTTATCAATGCTCCCAAATGTCTTTCACAGCTTTATTAAGCTAGAATATAAGAAAGGTTCATAGACTGCAGTATGATTGCTATGTTCCACCAGTTTTTCTATTCTACAGCAGTCTCCCACAAATACCTACCATATCCATCAATTTCATATCCCATGACAATGAGCTGTTTAAGAAAATGAGTCCCTTGCCTTACAGAGAGTTCCATATTCAAGAACTGATTCTTTCCTAATGGCATAATTTAACTCATTCTTCTAATTACTGTGTTTTCTGTAACCTGGAATTTAAACCTAAATGTCTGATTAGATTCAGGTTAAACATTTTAGGTAATTCAGGTGATATTACATTCACATCAGCAGTGCATAATGTAAGGTGATTTGTTAATGAAAGGTAACTTTATTATTAACACTGACATCTTTATTTGTAAGGTAAATGTCTACAAGAAATAACAATCCAACTAAAAGCCATCCTGAAGATAAGCTATTCCACATCACTAGTTCATCTAATGGCTTTGGTATCCATATATAGATATGGATAATGTTAAGCAGGACAACAAAGAAAAATTTATATAATTGTGTGCTACATCCTGTTCTGTAATTGCAATCCAAGTGCTTTCAGATGCAAATACACTGAAATATATGGACAGTAAACACACCAATTTCTCAAAAACCTCCAAACTCCTGAGATTTGCAGGCAAAATAATATGTATTTCATACATTGTACAAGTCATACAATGGCCACTTACTAGCATTTCCACTATCCTATCTCCAAAGAGTACTGTACTGAATCACAGAAGAGCCAGTAACATCAGGGATCATTCTCCAAAATACACTCACCACTACCTCTCAATTACAAATGTTAATAGAGAAAAGCTGTGAAACTGAAAGAGGCAAAAAAGCAACCCTGCTCCCCTTCAATCAAGAATATGGGCCAGGTGTGCTGGCACACCCCCTGTAAACCCAGCACTCAAGAAGCTGCGGCAGGGCTGGAGATATAGCTCAGTAGCATAAGCACCTGCCTGGCAAGCACAAGGTTGTGAGTTCAATCCCCGCTAACGTTTAAAAAAAAAAAAAAAAGCTGTGGCAAGAGGACTGCTGTGAGTTCAAGGCTATCCTGGGTTACAAAGTGAGTTCGAGGTCAGCTGGAATTACATAGCGAAACCCTGTCTCAAAAACACAAAAAAAAGCCAGGCATGGTGGTGCATGCCTGTAATTCAAGAGGACTGCCATGAGTTTGAGGCCAGTGTGGGCTACATAATGAGTTCAAGGCCAGTCTGGACTACATAATGAGACCTTGTCTCAAAAAAAAAAAAGGTGTGGCCAATATACTGGTAATCTACAATCAAAGTAATAAGACTGCTACAAAAGAATTAATTCGTAAGCTTTAAACCAGGTATCTGGCAAGTGCAAGGTCCTGAGTTCGATTCCTGATACAAAAAAATAAATAAATAAACCGGGCATGGTGGAGCACAACTGTAATCCCAGCTGCACTCCTGTAATCTCAGGAGACTGAGGCAGGAGAATCATTGCAAGTTTGAGACCAGCCTGGGCCACAAAGTGAGTTCAAGGCCAGCCTGAACTGCATAGTGAGACTCTTGTCTCAAAAAGACAAATAAAATAAAAAAAAATTAATTCCAAAGTTTTAAAATATACTCATCTTCCCAATTCCATCATCCTATATAATAGTGCTTTCGCTCTTTCACTCCGTTTTACAAATAAACAACAGTACATCACAAATTAACAGATGGTATAAAGCTAAAACAACTAGCTCACTCTCAAGTAACAAATGAATATAAGCACGTCTCCTAATTCTGGAATATGGTCATGGGTCAATACAAGAGTTTCAATATTATGTTAGATTTTGTGACTGACAGTCATCCCTAAAAAAACACAGCTGTGCAAATTATTTTTTCTAATACCCTTCCCAAACACTTCTGATCACATCCTCTCTTCTCAACCACACAATCAGTCCTCCTATATTACAGTTCCTTTCGTCTAGGTTTACTGCAGAAAACTGTAACATGAAGGACACAAGTCATTTGAATAAAGGCAAAGTTCTGAATTCTGTGCCACAGGAAGGAAAATACAAGAAATACGTTAACTCTGATATATATGGAATAGACAAAACTTTTAGATGGAGATGTGTAATTTACATATTAATATAAACTCCTACCCAGGTTCCAGGAAGAATTAAGGTTATTGGAGAAAAGAAGCACTTTGCTTTATACAACAGAAATATTCCTGGAAAAGTTCAAATTAAGTAGTGGTTGAAATACACTTAGAAAACTACTTACAGAAAACCTGAGAAAGAGCTATTTGGTACTCAACTACTCCTCCATGTGCCTATCATGTATGTTCATATGTACACAAGTATTCTTAGGGTATCTATCCTCAACAGGACAGAGTTAATTTTCAAACTCTTTTATATAAATTTGTACAGCAGAATATTAAGACCATATTCACAGAAGAGAGAAAATAAGGTTACACTTAGCCTTTAGTGCACTCAATGCCACAGGCCTAACAATATCTGAGAAATTAATTTGAACAAAAGTGGTTTCTTCCTAGAAATCTTTCCTTAATAACCTGAAGCAGATATGTAACTCAAAACTGACACATTATATAAACTTAGTATCTAATTTATAAAAGACTGAATAACTTTTTCTTGCAAAATTGTGCCACACCAGGTCACTTGCATTAACAAAATTCATATTCATACGTCTTGAGACAAAAAATCCATATGCATCCTCTTTGTCCACACCCACGCTTTGGTATACTATATCATTCTCAAGACTAAATTCACAAAACATACCTACTTGACAATGGATTTACTTACCCCAGCAAGACATTTTTCCAGTGTATCCAATATAATCAATTGAGAGAGATATAAATTTTTTTCAGCAGCTTCTCCAAATATCCTCTAAAAAAAAAAAAAAAAAGATATTTGAACACAAAAGTTGCTTATCACTCTCCACTATAAATCAATACACATCTGAAAAATGAACTGAGGGTCAAGAAAAATCAATAGCATTCCATTTTATCTCCCAGATTATATCATACTTAAATCTGTTATTTCTAATAATAGATAATTTCTAATCCTCACACAAAATAAATTCTCAGGTGAATAGAAATATAGGCAAACTGGGGCTGGGGATTTAGCTCAGCGGCAAAAGCGCCTGCCTGGCAAGCACAAGGTCGTGAGTTCGGTTCCCGGTACCGGAGAAAAACCAAAAAAAAAAAATATATATATTGCATACTGTTAT